TCTGAAGTATCGGCGAAAGGGCACTTTAAACAGCTAGACATATTTACTTTTTTAGCAATATATTTTGGGTTCAATTTTAAATAAATAAAAACAACCCTCATGCGATGTTTCCGATCAACCGGTTCACCGATATGAAACAAGGAAAAACTTGCTTTTGCAAAATAGGCTCAAATTAAAGTTTTATAAAAAAAACCATCATATTGCTGGTAATTTTTTTTTTCCCAAGAGGAATTAGAAATTAAAATTATCTAAAAAGGTTCAAAACAAAATTAAAACGATTGTTAATAAACATGACTACTTATTCTCTAGAAGAATTTTTCCACCTCCCTAAAGAATACTAGACATTAAGAAAACATATCTATATAGGGGTGTCTTTTTAATTTGTTTTTTTTTAGTTTTTTTTTTTTTTTTTTTTGTAATCTTTGACAATATTTTAAATGCTGTATCATGTATACTTCTCAATGGATACAGAAATTGAAATTGATGAAAAATTTAATTTTAATGTGTGTAAATTATTCAATTCGTTATGTTCAACCTATACATATAACATTTTTAACATGCTTATCGAGTGAATTCTATGTTGTGTTTAACTATAATATATATTTCAAGTTTTTAGTGCAAATGTTTAAATTCTTTAATTGAATTTACTGCCTGATTGTTTCACTTTTCTCAAATATTATACTGAATATATGAATGTGTTTAAGAATATATGAATGTTTATTTAAAATATTTAGCTCTATTTATATCTCACCAAGGTACTCGTTTAACGTAATGTTATTTAGATAAGAAAAACATCTGATACATTTAAGGAAATATTTTGATAAAACCCAATCAGGCAAATGGATATTTGCTTCGTCTGCAAATTTGCTGTGGCGGGGGTGTTATACATATTTCTCAATATGATTAACAATACAAATGTTATAAGCATGATGATTGTCTTATTAGTACTTTTTATAAGCTATCCGTAATTTGTACATTTTGAAGTTCTTTATATGCTATGAAGGGTGAGAGTTCAATGGACTAACTAATAATTTATTACTATGCATTTTGTCATAGCCTCTGAACCACTTTAATTTGCCTATTAAAAGGTTATATTAACTTGCCAATTTTTGTTATCTATTATATAAACAATAGAGGATTGTAATAGAAACAACTGTTTGTATGCAGTAGCAAATGGTCACTATTACAACAACAGACTGTACTTGCTAGCAAGACTCGAGTTGTAAACAGTAGAGGATTGTAATAGAAAACAACTGTTTGTTTGCAGTAACAAATGGTTACCATAACAACAACAGACCGTAGTTGCTAGCAATACTCGAGTTGTAAACGATAGAGGATTGACTGGGACGGGTGGCGTCGTCCAGTAATCCAGCTACTAGGAGGTCACGAATTGTGGATATTTATAGGCATGTACTGTGGATGCAATACTCCCTGGTGCGGATTAACGACCGCACGGGTGAGTACTACGACTATCCGCAGTACTATCCTGATAATTAGACCAATTCGTATATACCAAAGGCAAAAATGTGGTTCAGATTCCACTATAAACTGTAGGTCCCTTAGTTGCCATTAGCTGTATGGGCTATTAATTAACAGCTGTGTCTAAGGAATATGTCGGCCTTAGTCACTAACAAGACTACAAGATCGCGCCACTCATCCTACAATCATCTCCATCCATACTTGGCTTAAAATGCCTACTTTGTATGGTCGCCATTTCATTGAAAAGTATTAAAGTATTGTAATAGTAAACAACTGTTTGTTTGTAGTAACAAATGGTTATTATTACAACAGACCCTACTTGCTAGCAAGACTCGAGTTGTAAACAGTAGATGATTGTAATAGAAAACAACTGTTTGTTTGCAGTAACAAAAATTGTTATTATTCCAACAACAGACCGTGCTTACTAGCAAGACTCGAGTTGTAAACAATAGAGGATTGTAATATAAAACAACTGTTTGTATGGAGTGTCAAATGCTTTTAATGAATCATTCATACAAAAATGGCCGTAATCATATGGGTTAAATCGCTTAGATTTACTAAATTTTAAATAGGTAAACTAATGCAAACGAGTATAACATTTAATTTTTATACCAAACATAAATACATTTGAATAAACAAGATGAATAGTGTTTTAATTTCATAACTAAGTAATAACTAAATGATAAGAACGTTTTCCCCTTCCTTTTTCCCTTTATTTTCAAAGGCCGCTTACCCAACAGTCTTATAATTGTGTTAAGAATGTTTTGTGGTACAACCAATTAAAATCACAACATTCACTAACAAAATATTTGTCATAGCTGGGTAGTAGTGTAAAAACGCTATTCACTGGAGCAGGAGGACGAGCAACCCCAATTGTACCATAGCACCCCATCATGTGTACACGATATTTTACGTTTCACCTGTTTTGGATTGAATATATATTTCTACGTAAAAATGCTGTGTGTGTTCATTCATGTGTAAATTCATAGCATGAGGAGCAGCTTTAAATTTATTAGTGTAAAAACGCTGTTCACTGGAGGATCAGCAAGAGCAACCCTCAATTGTACTATAGTACCCCATCATGTGTACAGGATATTTTACGTTTCACCTGTTTTGGTTGTAATGTATATTTTATGTACACACGCTATTCACTGGATGAGGAGGAGTAACACTGTGTACTGTTCATAGTTAATGACAGTTATTGAACTTCACAAATCTTATTACTTGTTTGCTTTGCCTTGAATATATATTTTGAGTGAGGTGTTGGGATTATCACCGTGTACTGTTTATAGTTTATGATATTTTACTGGGTGTTATTGAACTTAAAAAAAAATCTTTTTACCCTATGGTGTCACTTGATGAAAATGTTATTTATTGTATATGAGGAGCAACACCGTGTACTGTTCATAGTTAATGATATTTATTGAACTTCATAAGTCTTGTTACTTGATTGCTTTGCCTTGAATATATATTTTGTAGGGGCTTTCTCACTAAATTGTCATTCTCTACTTTAAATACATTGTTGTGTGTTCATTTAATTCATCTACACATTGACTAGTGAAAGGAAAAGTGGTCCTGCCAGCTGTCCAGACCCACCATCCTTCTCTCGTCTCGTGACCTCCATCCTTATTTCCAATGACACTATTATTCTAAGTGAAATAGATTAAAGAAAATAAATTTTAGTCTAACCAGTTGAATATAATTATTGGTGCTGCCATGAAATGATGGGTAGGGGTTTAATAATAACTCCAAAATGAATGTCTAATAATTCTATAATTTGTCCTCAAAATAACCATTTAGATGATATATGAACAGTAATTCAGCAGGGCTAACTTAGTATAGAATTATGCTCACATCATTATACATATAAAATTAACAATTGATTCTAATTGCTTCAAGTGTATAAAGGCCTACAAAATCATTCTTTGAGTTTAGTTACTTTTAAATTGTTACATTTGATGAAAACGTAATATCAAAAACTTTGTAATTCTTTGGAAAACACTTGTAATAATTGAGTCTTTAACGATGGTTAATTAAATCAGACAAACTGACAACATGTGGCAAGTAGTTTAGATACATATAAAATTAACAATTGATTCTAATCGCTTCAAAAGTATATACAAAATCATTCTTTGAGTTTAGTTACTTTTAAATTAATATATTTACATAATATTAAAAGCTATGTACTTTGTAATTCCTTGGAAAACACATGTAATAATTGAGTCTTTAATGATGGTTAATTAAATCACGCAATCTGACGACATCTGTAGAGCAAATAAATGGATATAACAAATTAATGAATAATGTTTTTCTAATATCCTTTAGATCCTGTACATGAATATACATATAATACAACCCTGTACAACAAACATTATCACGGGAGCCAGCACACCCCACTAGTACAATGGATTGATAAGCAGTGGCACTAGATGTGGGAAATTCAACATAAAAAATAATAAACAATCATCCTTGAAAGTAATAATTAACTACGTGATTATATTACAAGATACAACAACATAATACATATATCTCAGTGGCACCAAGTGCGGGGAAAATTCAAAATAAACAAACATAATAAACTATGTACTGGGATTACAAGATACAACAACAAAATATATATATCTCAGTGGCACTAGATGTGGGAAATTCAAAATAAACAAACATAATAAACTACGTAATGGTATTACAAGATAGTGGCACCAAGTGCGGGGAAATTCAAAATAAACAATCATAATAAACTACGTATTGGCCTTACAAGATAGAACTCAGTAGCACCAAGAGCAAGAAAAATAATAAAATACATCCTTGAAAGTAATAATTTACTACGTACTGGCAAAATCATTATTACAAGTTAGTGGCACCAAGTGTGTGAAATTCAAAATAAACAAACATAATTAACTACTTACTGGCATTACAAGATAGAACATACATATAGACCCTTTTTATTTGTTAATTCTCATTTCAAATTTAACTACTTTCTCAAAACACTGTCCTGAATTTTTGGCCTCACATTCCCCACGCTCCGTTAAAAGTTTATTGAAACCACTCTCAATTTCACTAGCTATACTACTCTCTACTGTTAGGATGATTGATTTAGTTTTAAAATTCAATTTACTAACATCACCATCTTTTGTGTATTGGGATTCTATGTAAAATTGAAATCTAACTACTTTGTTTTTCTCTACATTCTTCCTTAGTATTTCTTGAATCTGCTCCCTCAAGTCCTCAAGGAAATCTTCCATACTTCTACATGTTTCCCCGATGTGTTGGACACTCCATCTCTCCACCTTTCCTTGAAATGCACTTCTAACAAGAACTAACTCCATTCCTTTTTATATATCTGAAAAATTCGGAATAATTAATCTAGGTCGGGTTTTGGGATAGCATAGTGTCCGAACGCAAGAGTATCAATTTTGTTTGGTAAAATGTACCGTTTCTTATCATCTGGATTTAAGCATAGCTTTCTCTGTTTGATTAGGGATACTGCCCCCTTTGAAGATGATATTCGGACATTATCTAACCATAGTCCAGTTTTAGTTTTTTCTTCCTTAGGTCGGGTGTTAAAGAGGCTATCTTTATAGTCTTCAAAGTCCACCTCTTTCTGTACTACTCTCTTCTGTGTTCCTTTGCTTTTCTTCTTGTTTGTTTCTTCGATTTTCTTCTTTACATCAAACTTCTTGGTGGCGTACTCCTTACTGCGTAGACCGACAAACTCTGTTAAAATGTTGGGTGCTAGTTCATCTTTGAACTTACCAAGGACCAGTTTATTTTTTAAAGAATGTAAGGGATGTTTAGGGTCGTAATTCCGGGTGTCAAGCTCATTTAAAATTTTGGGGTCGTTAGCTATGTCATTGTATAGGTCTTGAGTGTATATTGTCATAGCATATGCATCGGTATCTTTGTAGTTGATTTGTATGTTGTCTCCGTATTTAGGTTTTAGAACATCATAGTAAAAAGAAAATAAGTGGACTTTACTCAAATCAAGGACTGCTGCACCAATAAAGATGGGTTTGTCAAAAACGATTGTCTTTGGGGCCATATTGTACATAACAAGACTTTCACCAAAATCATAACTGTCTATAAACTGCGGGCTAAACGATAGTTTGCTAGCTTGCTCACAAGTCGTTGGGACTACTACTCGGATCCGTTTTTCCACTCGTTCACAAGTCTTCCCTGAAAAAGAAAAGCAAACATTTTAGGGTGGGAAATAGTTAAATTTTTAATACTGTACATGACACTTTGTGAATAATAAGATTTAACCCCCATCAAAGTGTGTAGATTTGCAAACTGACCTTATATCTCAGTGGTTTTTTTTTTTTTTTTTAAGTTCCCGTGTTATCCATATTATTTGTCAGCTATTTAAATTTTTGTTAATATTTAAGGAAACATGTGCTACAGAAATGAAATATTTAAAAACCATTTTAATTTGGGTTGATGTAAATATTACAATGGAATAAAGTGAAAAAATTATAATATTAAGTAAGAGGAGTCTATAAGAAATGTTGATTATATCGAAGTGTTATGTACATCGTGAGTATTTCCATAATCTTTGAATCCACTATCAGAAATTATGGCTGTTATTTGTTTTAAAATATACTCGAATTCAATCAACAGGTACACTTACTAGTTATCTATGAATTTTTAAAATCTAGGTGTTAATTGACATAACTTGTGAAATTTGTGTGAAAATCTAGATGTTAATTGACATAACTTGTAAAATATGTGTGAAAATCTACGTGTTAATTGACATAACTTGTAAAATTTGTGTGAAAATCTAGGTGTTAATTGACATAACTTGTAAAATGTGTGTGAAAATCTACGTGTTAATTGACATAACTAGTAAAATTTGTGTGAAAATCTAGGTGTTAATTTTCATAACTTGTAAAATGTGTGTGAAAATCTACGTGTTAATTGACATAACTTGTAAAATCTAGGAGTTAATTGACACTCACCATATAAGGCATTGTTCATAAGCTTCCAAAATTCCTCTTCAAATGGGTTGCCTGACTCAATCCTCTTTTTGGTCGTCAATTCGACATAAGGGGCGATGTATGGGGATTGCTTGAACTTGATTCCTCTGTGGATCTTGGTGAGAATTAGTCCGTGTTCCACAGCCTGTTGTAGAGCTCGGTAATGGCAGACATACTTCGTCCTCGAGCCAAGTGTCTCCATTAGCATATTTTGGCCGTCAATCACTTGGACCTCGGGTAGGAATGGCATGTCATTGTGAGTGTCGTGTAGATGATCAGGGTATTGGAAGTCCGCTTCCAAAAAGTAGCCGGTGTCTGAGTCCGGGGGTAGTTGTAGGACTTCTTTCACTAAATCGTCATTCCCCTCAACCCAAGTGAATTCACTAATTGGTAGGTGTTTCGATAAACAAAAGCCATATAAATTATTGGCATCAATATACCATAAATAAGAGGTTGGTTTTGTGGGATCGTAGAGGTGTTCCATGTAAGGGTTATTTGCACGGCTTAAGCGGTGTGAACATCCCACTAATCCTCCGCGCATTCCTCTCTGAACAAACTTGACCATTTCTAAGTCAGTTAACAAATCAATTGTCACATTTGTATAACGTAACATGGCATCAAAGGTCAGTCCTGGAGTACTTACATAGTATAGTGGATCGAGTTGGAATTCCCTCATTGACATTGATCTAAAGTCCTCAAATACATCTGCCAATAGTAAAATGTCACACATCTGGTAAATCATGACATAGTCCTTTAGGGTTTTGCATTCAAAAACTCGCCAAATTGATTTTGCTTGTTCATAATTTTGTGGATTTATGTCTTCGTCTGTTAAAATGGAGTAAAATGATTCCATTGGAGGGAGAGATGTTTCTTCAAGTTTAGAGAGTGAAGAGAGATAGTCGTAGGGTAGAAAGCCTTTAGTGGTTATAAGATTGAATGTTTCGTCCTCAGGAAAGTATTTACGTGATAATGCTTTTTTATTATCACTGAGAAAGCTACTCAGCTTATCCAAAGAGAAAGAGAGGAAGCGGTAACTGTCAATAAATTGAACAGTCATGCCACCCATCTTCTTAGTAAAACTTATAAATGTGTCTGTTGTGTGGGGAATGACTGTAATTTTACCATCTTGTTTTCCTAATTCTGGAATAATGAAATTTGCATCGTAGCGGGAGAGGTTATGAACGACGACATTTACAACCCTCTGGTCTCTGTAAAAAAGATTACAGCGATTGTGGGCTGCTCCATAAAATCGGCCAGAGACATGATCATGCGAGCGTACCTTTTTATTTCTATCGTCAAAACCTCCTCTTAAACATATGTGGCATGTAGTGGCCAGGTCGAACTCATGTTGTTGTTGATCAGTAAGTTCAGGGACATCTCTTATTCTCTTTGTATATAACACCTTTTCAATTTTTTCTATATCTTCTTTTAGCATGTTAAATAGCTTACTTGGAGCATCAAGACCACAGTAGGCTCTGTAGTTGGTCAGCATGTCACTTTCTTCATCTTTTAGTAAATATCCGAATGAAAAGGGGACATGTTTTTGTAGAACAACGGTGTTGCTAGATCCGGGTTCTTTAACAGGTGTTGTCAATGATTCAAAATCCAGATAAATTGTAAACCGTTTCTTTCTGAGATTCTCAAAATTCCTGAAGTAAAGCTTAGTTTTGTTGCCCTTTGGAGTGTCATTAAACAATGGTCCACCACTAATTCCTTGACAGAATTCTGTGTGTCTTTTGAGCTGTTCTTCTGCTTTCTTGTTAGGTGTATTATAAAAGTAAGCACGACATCTTCTACACATTTTTACAAAATGTCGGTGTTTTGATATCCTGTTCCTAAGTAATCCTTCAAAGTCCAGGATTAGGTGGTACACATTTCCCACTCTAATCAAATCAAAGTGTTTGTCTTCCTCTACAAAGCCAACACTGGTGATATAGGCAGGAATTAATTTTCCTTCATGAATAGAAAAAATTGACAGCGAAACACAATTCCTTCTCTCAAAGCTAGGAAAGTCTGTTACATCTTCCCCCCATTCAAACACAGTAGTATTATCCTTAGAAGAAATTGCATACTTAAAAGATTCTTCTCTGCTTAGTTCAGGTGGAGATTTTTGTACATATTTCGTGTCTAAGGTTTTCTCGCTAAAACACTGATGAAGTTCCAACTCTTCCTTAGTCTTGAATTTGTCACTACATATGCGACAGAAATAACAACCTCCTGCCATGTTATGTATAAGTTTGAGATGTAAAACTAAAGAACTGTTGGTAGCAAAAGTCTTGCTACACAACCTACAACTAACTCGTTTAGGTAAGAACCGATGTTTGGTTCCAAGGTGAGCTAGGAGACCTTTCTCAGTTATAAATTTTCTAGGGCATCTTTTACATTGGAAATTGGTTGATTTCAGTTCATGTTTTTCTTCCAGATGACGTTTGAAGTTGTCAAGTAGATGAAATGAGCTCATACACTTTGGACAGTAAAAACGACTCTTAGGAAGGTTATGCTTCAATCTATTGTGTAAGCCAATGCTTCTTTGATTCTTGAATATTTTTGGTGGCGTACACAATTTACACATTATTGTAATGTTAGAGTGTACATTTTTGATATGCCGTGTCAAGTTACGTTTGTGTGTGAATGTTTCCTCACAAATGTTACAGTTATATAGTGGAGTATTTCTTGCATGTTTAAGACCAATATGCTGTGTCAAATTAGATTTCCGTGTGAACTTTTCTTTACAAATGTCACAATTATATACAGGAGTATTTCTTGTATGTTTAATAGCAATATGCCGTCTCAAGTTAGATTTCCGTGTGAACCTTTCTTTACAAATCTCACAGATATATACAGGGGTATTTCTTACATGAAGAGCAATATGCCGTCTCAAATTAGATTGATCTTTGAATGTTTTGTGACATATGTTACAGTTGAATGTTGAAGATGGAAAATTATGTGATTGATCTTTGTGACGTTTAAGGTTAGATTTTCGATTAAATGCCAAATCACAGATGTCACAAATAAACTTTTTATGTACAGTTTGTATATGACTATCCAGCTCATTTTTCGTCGCATATGCATTTGAACATAATGTGCATGGGAAAAACCCAGTATCTCCGAAACTAGACGTAGATGGTTGTGGGTCGTCCATCTGCCCTAAAAGAAAAAAAAAAAAAAACGAAATAGAAAGAAGGTTTTGAGTCAAAATAACAACAAACATTAGAGAGAATGATGACCCACAGTCGAGGCTCATTAATGCAAAGTGAAAACGAAAGCATGCCCTCCCGTTACTGGACTCAGAACCGGTTTATGTCAATGCCCCGACCCACCTCAACTCACACTGCAACTCGACTCTACACCAAATCTCTCTAGTTCATAGTAAGAAATCATTAATAATTTGAGAAATATCTCATTACACTTTGGCTAGAGCATAGCCATAAGGCCCATCGTGCAAACTGGTATTAGAAAAAAAAAACCGATTATAATTTAGCTTAGACAACTTTTATGTTCTAAGATTATACCCGGTATCAAATAACATGCAAACTAGTAACATTAGACTTCTCATCCCACTGTAAATTTTAAAGCACGTTTTTGTGTCTAGTTCATGTACGGTGACACTGGGTGCTAGTGTCGACAACATTTTGTTTCTATTATTTTAGGGTTAATTTCTTGATTTGTGCTTTACTGTTTGGTTATGTAACTAGGGGACAACTTATTGTTTATGATTGGATCATATTATTTGGTTAAACGAGGTTTTAAATGACTGTAATATTGTAAACAAAACACGAGCTCTACATAAACCGTATAGAACTAACAATAAAATTGTCTTCAGCTGTTCCATAAGGATGAGAAATCTACTGAGGGAGTATGTTTAATGTTTACTTACCACATATAGGAGGAAGGTCTATTACTGAATTGTGGTGGAAGTTGTAGCAAAATATTAGCTGAAAACAAAACAAAAAAAAATTACTCAATAATTTTACACCATTATATTCATTATATTTACATATCACTCTTATAAGTTAAATACCACTCATTTTTAATAGTCAATAACTAACAATTGCGCATAATAATCTCAAAAAACAGCTCCTATGATTGTAAAAAAAATATCTATGCTACACTCTGTTCTGGGAATATTAGTTGAAAACTTTAATATATTTACTGAATTGTAACAAATCAGTAGGACATTACAAAGGAAAATGCTACATTTGGTATGTATGATGTATTACGACTGTTCAAATATACACTATCTATATCTATAAAAGAGGAAGTATGTATGTATATACTCTATAGACTCTGAAACCACATGACAGATTGTAATAAAACTTACAGGCATTCAAAAATGGTTTGTATTAAGTTTGGTACAGACCCATCAAAAGGGCTCTAACCCAGTGATTTTTAAGGGAAATTTACAACTACAATATAATGTTTATGTATGTCTAGATGTCATTTTGTATTTTTAAACAAAATTTGACACATTGTTCCACGATACCAGTGATACCAGTGACTAACGCAATAACAATCAACAATATATTAGATTAATTATTCACATGAAAAAGTTCATTCTGTAAATTAATAATGAGTGAACGACTTAATTAATCTAACAATATCTGTAGGCTGAGTTATTCAACCTCTTAAACGAATTAAACACCTTGAGCAATGCTCAATCCCATGGAATTAACAAGTTAAATGTCTATGATGAAACTTTTTGTAACTTGGTATCCAATTAAAAACTCCAACAAAACATGAAGCCAATTACAATAATTTACCTTTAACGTACAATATTTATCAATAGGGATTCTAAAGATTACTAAAAAGGAAAACGGTTACTTACCAAATAATATAGGTAGTGTTGAAAACGGGGTACATGAGACACTCTCCAACCATAAACTGAAATAAAATATTATATCAATATTTATGTCAACTTAACAATAAGTAATGAGTAATACTGAAATGTGAAAGTTTGTGTGTTTGTTTGAAGTTCAATCACACATTAACTAATGGACAGATTAGGTTAAAATTTGGCATAATGATAGCTCATATTCCCAATTAACATATAGGCATATTCTTATCTAAAAGATCTCCGCCCCAGTGGTTCTGTAGTTCCCCATGTTAATATTATTAGGGAATTAAAAAAAAAAAAAAAAAAAATAGTCAGCTGTTGATTCTATGATATGCAAAAGTATTAAAAGGTTATTGGGTGCAACATTATATATGACAACCACTAATTTGAACTAAGTAGCAACAAAATTGTATTACCCAGTGAGAACTAATTGTCAAAGTAGAAATGTTTATAGCTATTTTATATTTTTAATTTCATGAATAATTTGTGATATTTTGAAATCTTTAATAATTCTTTTTGTCTATTATTTAGGTGAAGTGCTAGAACATGATGGCTATAGTAGTTGAATAATAGTATATTATACTATAAATTTAAACTGTATCCTCCCCCATTGCAAATGCTAATAAATAAGAGTATAACTGCAATAAGCATTTTACACTGATGCCAACCCCGTACGAAGGACAGGTATTCTGCTAGTTAATAATAAAATTCTCATGATGTTAAAGGTTCAACCCTTACTCAAAAATATGTCAGTAACAAAGAACTCATTCTTATTCAATACATTAGTATTCAGTACACAGTGTACTATAGTTATTTAGTATTAAAGTACTAGTTATACATTATAATAAGAAATTAGACCCAGAAATCTTCTAAATCGAACAGTGTTGGGGTTTACAACATATTTCTCAAAAGTGTTTCCTCATTTAATTTGTACAATTAAAATCAAAATCTGCTAAGAAATCACTGTGCACAAGAATTGTCCAATGTAACAAGATAATTTAAACGTTGAGTAGAGTTGAAACTATCAGAAAAATGTAAAGAGTTACATACCTTAGATGTGCTGGAACACTAGTGTCGGCAAGGAGATGCGATTTGCAACTGCGCAGATCACTGACCTGCCTCCATCTTATACTGCGAATTTGCCGTTCATCTAACGGGAGTGTTACCGTTACACAGAATCATTCGCAACTGCAAAGATCACTGCTGACCTGCCTCCATCTACTGCGAATTTGCCGGTCATCTAACGGGAGTGTTCCCGTTACACAGAATCGCAGAATCGGAAGAAGGTACCAGGAGACAGAGCTCAATTTTTGCAAACCTTCTCATCGCTTAGTAGCACTTTCGTTGTTTATCAATTTAGTAAGGATTACATGGTTGTTATATATTCTCTACATGTCATCCAGTGAATAGCAGTCTTACACAAAATATATATTCAACCCAAAGCAGGTACGAATTCAAGTAACAAGACTTATGAAGTTCAATAAATATCATTAACTATGAACAGTACACGGTGACGCTCCTCATAAACAGTGAATAGCATTTTTACACAAAATATATACTCACACCATACAGTAAAAATATATTTTTTTTTAAGTTCAATAACACCCAGTAAAATATCATAAACTATAAACAGCACACGGTAATAATCCCAATACCTCACTCAAAATATATATTCAAGGCAAAGCAATCAAGTAATAAGATTTGTGAAGTACAATAACTGTCATTAACTATGAACAGTACACTGTGTTACTCCTCCTCATCCAGTGAATAGCGTGTGTACATAAAATATACATTACAACCAAAACAGGTGAAACGTAAAATATCCTGTACACATGATGGGGTACTATGGTACAATTGAGGGTTGCTCTTGCTGATCCTCCAGTGAATAGCGTTTTTACACTAATAAATTTAAAGCTGCTCCTCATGCTATGAATTTACACATGAATGAACACACACAGCATTTTTAC